TAGGCTTAGACAGCCGAAAACTTTGTTTCTATTTGTAAACCTTTGTATTGTTTGATGATTGAGAATAAATAAAGACATGTTTGAAATGAAGTTTGAAAAGTGTTTTATTGTTTATAAAAATACAAAAAAAGAAAGGAAAAGAAAAGGCAGCAACCCATGGCCTCCCCTGTCCCTCTACTTACCCATCCGCTTCGCCGTCTTCAGACAGTCGACCGTCCTTGTCGACCGTCCTCTTCGGTCCCCCCACGTCCGAGGAGGGACAGTAATATCTTGAGGGACCTGATCTTTTGATTACCCAGCAAATGTGCAAGGAGGAAAGAGCGGTCGAGACGCTCCAAGCACTAGCTGCGCACCATTTATGGCTGGTGTTCCCCACCTTTTCAGCAGATCGACCGCCAGTGTCGACTGCCTCTTCGGCAGGGCAACCGTCCTGTTGCCTGCCTCTTCGCCCCGTGGTCTTCGGTCTTCGGTTTTCAGTTTTCATCGTTGCCATCCATTCCGTTCGTCCATCCAAATCGTCCTGGTTCTCGGCGTCGTCAGTCCTGGTCGTCATCCATCCTGATCGCCATCCATCCAGGTCGTCTTCGGTCCTGGGGCTCGCTAGAAAAAAGTTAAAGGTTAGAATGGCCAGGTGCTAATCACGCTGGCCATGGGTTGCTGCCCGGGAAAGGAAAGAGAAGGGAAGAAAAGAAGGAAAAATGAAGAGCATCAGCATAGACACTGATGCTCTGGCGGTGGAGGTGATGATGATGATGGTCTTCAGCCCGGAGCGGGCGCGGGCGCCATCCGAAAGACAAAAGAGTGAGAAAGGCCAGGGTGTCTGCAAGGATGAATAGAAATTAGAAACGAAATGAAACAAACAAAGAACTTGGACTTACCATCTTCGGCGAGACTTGTGATGATCTTCGCCATCACAACAAAGAGCGCCCGCGGGCGTTATCAACAGCAGCGGCGGCGGCATGACCGTCCTCGTCGGTGTCTGTACGGCAAATGAGGCGATTGTGGCGCCGGCGAAATCGGCGGCGGCAGCAGGCAGTCTGCTGACAGCTGTCAGGGGTGACAGTCGTTGATGCAGTGCAAGATAACAAAACGGGAACTTCAATTGCGGATATCTCGGGAAGTAGTTGAGATATCGAGGTTTTGCTTGGGCAAGGACACTCTACTAAGGGTTCTGCGTCGAATGAGACCATAAAACGAGGTGGTCGGATTTTTGGCCAAATTGGCCAAATCTGAAAGGCTATAGCCTTGCAAATTTTGAAAATCTGACCAAAAAAATTTTATTGCAGATTCTTAAAGTACTCGACAAGAGAACTCCAAATCTAAAAGAATTTTTGCTCCAGGACCACGGGAACATGGTCAATTTTAATTTTAAAGTTAATTAAAATTGTCATGTTTAGATGACGGACACAAGATGGCGCTAGGGGTTCCACAAAGTTAATTTTTCTAGTTTTCTGAACACGAGAAAAATAAAATTTACGGGCGATTTTTTGACGCCACTTACAAGATGGCGACGATGGTGGCGTTCCTAGCGGCCAACATCGAAAACTATCTGCTTTTAATGATTCCTTCTTGCAATTTTTTAAATGAGCGTTTTTCAGGCCTGGAGCATTGTAAAGTGATGAAACTTGTTTTAAATGAAAGCTTAAGACTTGGTGCACAATTTGTTTGTAAAATAAATTAGTTTAAACCAGTTTTGGTATAGTGAAAGTAATATTGAAAACTTTAGAACTATATTTAAACAGAAAAACTTGCTTAAACTAGAGTAATTTACACACAAATTGTGCGCCAAGTTTTTAGCTTTCATTTAAAGCAAGTTTCATCACTTTACTATGCTCCAGGCCTGAGAAACGCTCATTTAAAAAATTGTCAGAATGAATCATTAAAAGCGAGTAGTTTTCGATGTTGTCCGCTAGGAACGCCACCATCGTCGCCATCTTGAAAGTGGCGTAAAAAAATCGCCCGTGAATTTTATTTTTCTCGTGTTCAGAAAACCAGAAAAATAAAGTTTGCAAAACCCCTGCTGCCATCTAGAGGCTGTCGGATGAACATGACAAAAAAATCTGATCAGCCTGCACCAAAGTGCGGTAATTCAACCCGAGTTTAAGTTCCCAAGTATTCGAAATTCACTCGGGACTGCTCCTCGGGCAGGAGAGTAGGCAATAGTAAAGGTAAACAGACGGTTTTGTTTATTACAACATCGGAAACTCTCCATTTTTAACGATCAATTCTGTCCATTTTTTAAATGGGCGTTTCTTGAGTCTGGAACGTTGCAAAAAGCTCAAAGTTGCTTTAAATGAATGCTGAAAACTTGATGCACAATTTATGTAGTAAAAATAGATTTAAAAACAAAACACTTGTTTTTATTTAAATATAATTTGTAAACAATAAAGATACAATAATTAATAATATAGTGATTCATTTGTTAAATATAACTTCATAGGATTTTGTTAGCGAAAAAAAGAAACAAAAAGAAAGTCGGTGTGGTCGTTACTGTACACTGTATTGACAATTGAAAGGGAAAGAAAAAGAAGGAGAAGTAAATCAGTGCTTCGGCGGTGAATTGATGCTTTGGTGTCAAAGAGAGAGATGAAAACGGTGTGAGTTGTAGAGCATGTGTAAAGATAGAAAGAAGTGATAACCTAGTAGTGGTCGTGGTGGTGATAAAGTAGTACAAAGGGGGAAACCAAAAGAAACAAATGAGACTGGAGATTGAAGAAAACCGAAACGAAAAAATTCTGTGACAGTATTTGGAAATAAAGCAAATGGCTACTAAAAGAATGGCTAATCAAGAAAATGAAGAGACTTTTTTCAGAAACACTTTAGTCAGTGTTTTAACTAAACGAAATAAAATAAAGTTATTAGTAGCAGAAAGAAAGGAAGAAGCTTATAAGAGATATTACAGAGAGCGCCCAGCAATCGGTGGGCAAGTAATTGAGGGGAGAAATGGAGAGATAGAAAGAGCGAAAAACAACTTTACAAAGAAATAATTTTCAGAAATCAAATGAAGAGTGTTTGTCAGTGTGATTGGCCAGTGTGCTCGAAATTAGAGAAAAGAGAGAGAGAGAGAACAAATTTGAGAGCGGCTGTCAAGAATGATGAAAAAGTTAAATACTGAAACTGATAGATTCGAAAAGAAACCGAAAAGAAAAAAGTGATAAAACAATAAACAACAAATAGACAAAGAGACAATTATATCGGGCGAGCTGACCACTTTCCAGTGTATTCAATGTTTCGTTTCGTCTCGTAAAGCCATCTTGCGGTATTCAACTTTGCAACGGGGCTAAAAGATCTCAAATAGACTGCTGCTGCTGCTGCTGCTGCTGCTGCTCCAGAAGCAAAGGTGGTAAACGATGATTAATTTTGGTGTTCAACTTCCAAGCTAGCTAGCAACAACAAAAGGGCAATTTAGTGCAAGAGCAGCCAGACAGTTAGTCAGCCAGCCACCGCCACAAACACGCGAACAAGAGACAATTTCACTTCGAAGCGATAACAACAGGTGAGGGAAAAGCAGTCGAGACAGACAGACAGACAAACCAGTCAACAACCGAAGGAGAAAACGACAAAAGAACAACAAAAGAGAAGAGAGAGAGAGAAGAGACAGGGGTTCACGTCTCTCAAAAGAGGAAGAAAATAACAATGATGAAGATGGTGGTGGTGGTGGAGGTGACACAACAGCTGAAGAAAACAGCAGCTGTTTGGCAAGAGTTTGACAACAAAAAGTAACAACAAGTCTGTTTGTTGGGCGAAAGTGGGAGTCAGCAGCCTCGCAGAGGAAGCTTAGCCAGGGCCGGCGGCACTCAGGGCGGCTTCTGCAGCATCCGCTGCAGCAGGGCGACCTTCTGCTCGAGGGCGCGCTTCTGCGAGAGGACGTCACTTAGCTCGGTCAGTGTCTCCCGCTCCCGTGTGCGCCACATCTCCAGAATATCGGTCCGCGAGAAGGAGCCCATCCGGCCGACGTTGGCGATCATCGAGCAGACGTCGCTGTAGGAGCGGGTCGGCAGGGGAAAGGGCGTCAGCGTGGAGGTGGACGAGGAAGCGGCGGAAAGTCCCGATGGCGTGGTGTTCGACTTTGGCAGCAAATGTTGTCCTTTTGCCGCCCCCTTGCTCAAACTCTTGTACGGCGCCCCGTCCTCGTTGGCGTACGCCGTGGGCGGTGTGATCGTCCTCCTACTGACCCTCCTTATCATCATAATCTCCGCCTCCTCCTCCTCATCGTCGTCGTCGTCGTCCTCGTCAAAGTCCTCCCCGTCAAAGTTTTCCCCGTAGCAGCCGCCTCCATTTTCATTGCTCGACTCGCTCAGCTCCTTCTTGATCGCCGGCAGGTCCTCAAAGGAGAGAATGCGCCGGCGGGGAAGAGAAGCTTTTGCTGCTGCCGTCGATGACGATGATAATGGGTAAACTGCTCCTCCTCGTTTTCCGGCACGCCCACCACCACTGCCGCCCTCCTCTTCCGGAAAACAGAGGTTCTCCAGGCTGAGCGAGGCGCTGTGGTTGAGCAGATGACTGCGGCGCATCGTTTGACGACGGCCTTTGGAGCCGGCGCTGATGCCTTTGCTGCCTGCTCCTTCATCTTTTGATGATGATGGTTTGCTGGACGATTGCTGATGGTGGTGGTGGTAATGGTGGTGGTGGTGATGGGGGTGATGGCTGCCGCCGTCATCCGTTTCATTGCTGTACGAGGAGGAAAAGTCGCCCAGCGGCTTTCGAATGGAGGTGGCGGCTTTGGCAGTCGTTGAATCGTGGCTAGTGCCACCACTTTCACCGCCACCACTCTTCAAATTACTAACTAGCCTCTTCGTGAGGCTGCCCTTTGAGTCGGTTGAGCTGAAGGAGGCCGTCTTCTTCGACTTTTTCCCTCTCGCCGATTTTTGCTTCTCGTCGTAGTATTCAGGATCTAGAAATCGTTTAAAATGTTTAAAATTGTTAGCATTTGTAAATTTAGAGAAATTAGAACTCAGAAAGAAACCTTTAAAGCGTATCGCAGAGACTCGGTTCCCCACCGGAAGCGGCTCCGAGTCGGAGTCCCCAACGCCCAGCAGGCTGTTGTTCTCCCTGCAGGCCATCGAAAAGGACGGCCTGGTGACGCGAATGTTGGCGTCAGTGTTCAGCGCTGCCTCCTCGTCAATGTCCAGCACGTCCACGTCGATGGTGCCATTTAAATTGTCGTCATTGTCATCGTCGTCATCATCCTGCTGTTGGCTGCCCTCCTTCTTTTGGCGGACACTGGTGTGAAGAAAAAAGTCAAAGTTTAACATTTTTGATTGCTTTTAGTAGAAACTTCTCCCTGCTTACATCTTTCTCGCCTCCTGCATCAGCTCAAAGAACTGCGACTTGCTCTTCCGCCGACGAGCCTCCTCTTTGGCTTTCTGTGATTGAAAATAAAAAAGTATGAGTTATACACAGTTTTTTCACAACAAAAAGAAGAAACTCCTCACTCTCTTGACGCTCTTCTGAAAGAGACTGGCAATCTGGCCCTCCTTCAAGTTGGTGATGATCTCCTTGGCGGAGTGGTGCGGCGACACCAGCTCGACGGTGTTGATGAAGCGGTACAGTTTCTAACAATAGAAACAAAAATTAATTAGTCTTTCTGAAAAAACCAAACCCCCTCCCTCCACCCAATCCCCTCTTACCTGCGAGAAGAACATCAGATTGGGCGTCTTCCAGTAGGAGTCCTTGCCCTTCCTCCGCAGCCCCGGCAGGCAGTACTTGAAGACAAAGTGCTCCGCAAAGAGAATTAGGATGCCGACGCAGATGCCAAAGGCGAGCATGAGAAAGACGCCCGCCTCGGCACGGACCGTCAGCGGCATCGGCTTCGTCAGCGAGGAGGACTCCAGGCAGTGCACGCGGCCGTACCACTTCCGGTGCAGCTGGTCGAGGAAGCCGTACTCGTTGTACTTTAGTATCAGATTGGAGATTGAGTCCTGAAAAAGGGGGGATAAAGAGAGAAAAAGAAATGTTACCCAAAGTTTTTGTGGCTGTCCTCCTCAATTACTACGGACACTACTGTCACTCTTTTGCCATTTGCACTAACCACAACCAATTCTGCTGTGGTCAGCAGAAATTAGCGAAACAACGAACGAGGAGGAAAGAAGGAGGAAAGTCAGTGATCCAGTGAACTGAGCAGAACTCTATTTAGCAGCAGCAGCAGTGTGCACACAGTAGTAATTACTGTGGTGGTAGATGCTGCTGCTGTTGTGCTGCTGTGGCCGCCATAATTAATACTAATCGAAGCAGCAGAAGCTGACAGCTTCAGACAAAAAAAAATGTGGACAGCTTATTTTGGGAGGGGGGGGGGGGNACACCACCATCAGCAAATCTCTCTCCCTCTTTCCTTCACAGTCTTTGCCCATATTTTTAGTCCATTCTTTTTTCGGTTATCTGCCGTGCACTTTTTTCTCTTTTGCTGGTCTGGTGTCATCTTTTCCCCCAGTGTCCCCATCGTCCACACACTGCTGTCGCTGACATACCCCACCAGACGTTGACAGCAAGAAATATTAGGTGTCGGTGCGCCCTCCCACACTCATTACCAGGCGATCAGGCGAAAGACAAAAGTATGTGTGTGGCGGCAACAAGACCACCACCACTACCACCAACACAAGAACACAGACTGCTGCCGTAGACAGGACAGACACCACCGCAAATTTGGTGTGTCAGGAGAAGAGGAAAAAGAAGAAGAAAAAAGGCGTCGAGGTCAGACGGATACAGCAGCAGCAGCAGCAGCAGACACTCTGTTTAATCACATTAGTGTGGTCCTGATGATGGCAGTGGCGCAAGTTGAGACTGTTCACTGCATAATTCTAATTATTATTGCCCATTTTCATTTCAGGCAGAGCACAGCGCCCTTGGCGCAGCAGAAGCGATCTTTTCGCTGCCTAAAAAGGCGAATGTCTCTAGGTGACGATAAATAATGATCGCTAGCGCTTCCCGAGAATGCATGTATGTAGTTTTAGCCCAAAAGATCAGTTTTTTAATTCTTTTTAGGTCAGAAAAAAGCGTCATTTGTTTATGCTCAGTTGTTAAAGCGTTGACTGAAACGTCAGAATACAAAAAAACGAAGATGACAAAGTAGTAGGGGTGGTTTAATCAAACAGAAAAAAAACGCAAACAAACAAACAAGTACTGAACTGAGCTGAACTAGGAGCAAACGGGTTGAGCAGTGCCAGAAAGTGAATTTTAAAAAGTTTACCCAGTAAATTAGCTACGCAAGAGTGACGTGCTGCTGCTGCTGCTGATGCTGCCGTTGTAATAGAATGTGCCGAGTGCATCACCGCCGATTAAACCGAATTATGCACTAAAAGTAATAGTACCATGCAAAACAAAATAACACACAATCATCCATTGCACTTCACGTCATTGAGAGTGCACTGCATCAGCACTGATTCTGGTGTGCAAGCAAACAAAGTATTGCCAGTGACCACCACAGTGTGCTGTCACTGCCAGTGACACTGGCAATGGTTTCCCGGTGGCAGTCACAGCAGCCATTTCGTCACCGCTGATAAGGGCGCAAACTAAATAAAGGACAAATGTAGAGTAAAGTATTTCCTATACAGTGTCACATCCGCCGCCGCCGCCGCAGTAGTAGCAATCACTGCAGAAAAACAGCAACTGATTTCAATAAATATAGGCAGAGTGCGGCAGAATTTTCAGGTCACAAACACCGAAACTCTGCAACTCAACAAACTAATCATTTGTGAACACTGTCGTTACCCAAGTACAATGACTTCATTCTGCCCTGCCACCACCACCACTAAACTTTCCTCTTTTACCTCTTCAATCCTCTTCCTCATTCTGTGCATTCTTCTTCTCACATCTTCACTCTCAAGAATCAGTGTCGTAGAAGCCTCAGAGGACAGCAAAGGTCACCGAGAGCCTCGCTACTACGGCCTCTCAAACAGCGGGCGAGTGTACGAGGCCGTGGAGGAGGGCTTCATGGTCGGCGGGCCCATAAGTACGCTCGAAAAGCGAGACACACAGCAGCAACAGCAGCAACAGGTGTCAGCTGCTGAGATGCAGGACGCCGCCGCCTCAGCGAGCATCGCCAAGCGCATCCTCCTGCGGCAGTACCAGCTGGGCAACGACTTTAGATAGCACAACAACGAAACCCATCCCCTTTTACAACACTATTTTACTGTACTGTACATATCTGATTTTTTTCTCACAATAAACTCAAAACAGAAAACAATCAGTGAATTGGCAGAAATCGTTTGGGAAAGCCAGTGTGTACACAAAGTGCACAGAGTGTACGGTGGCTACGTGTCAGAGACCTTTCTCTCTCTTTCTGATCGTTTCCTCTGTGGAAACATCCTGCAGCTGTAGCTACTGTGCACCAAATGCTTGCACCAAAAAACAGTCAGGTTCACATAGACCCTCTACTTCACACACACTCTTCACATCTCACTTGTGATTTCTCTCTGTTTTAAAAAAATCTTTAACAGCAAAAATGCGCTGCTCAAAATTACTACTGTGTCAATTTCTTCTGTTGCTGCTCACATTTAACCTCACATTACCGAATGCAGTCCACGCTCAGCGCATCTGCTTCGGCTACCGTGAGCCTCGACCCTATCGAACTGAAGAGCTGATGCAGCGGCCTGAAAGAGGTGACTATTACCATCCTGAGCAGGACCACCACCAGCAGCAGCAAACTGACTATCAGCATCATCAGGATCATCATCAGACTGAAAGCTCCAATTCTCACAGCTCCGGCGAGCAGCCGCAAAATCTCTGGGCAACGATTCGCCGCAATCTGCATTTGTAAACATTTGTAAACCGTCATTTTCACTCCCTCATTGAACCCCATCTCAGCACACACATCTCTATTTGTTATCTTGTCATCAAAAACAGTACACTGAACAACAAAATAAAACATCACTTCACTAAAAACACACAAAAGACTTTTTTTCCTCAATTTCTGCTAAAAACTGACCTAAACTATCCGTTTCAGTAGTGGTACTAGAGCTGGTACTACACAAGTTTTACACGGTACATTGCTGCCAGACAGTCTTTACAGTCTTTACTGTCTATGGTTGAGGATTTTAAATGTAAGCCATTTGTCGCCAAGACTGCTCAAGTAGAACAGACAGACAGAGCGAAAGTCATAAGAGAATGAGTGAAAAATCATCACAGTTACAGCTCACAGAAAACGCTTGTTCATTAGAGGAGCACACACACACAGATCACTGGTCACGACAGAAAAGACATGGTCATAAAAAAAAAACTTACCCGAAATGGAAAGCCCTTCTGCATGCCCACGGCGTAGGCATCATCAAAGATGGAGTCGCCCAGCAGACGGAGCTGACAGCCCGGGTCAGTCGCTCGGTAGTAGTCGAGGATGGCAGTGTCGCCGATCAGCACGTCCAGCTTGCCGGCTCTGTGGCAAAATAGAGAGAGAGAGAGAGTTTTAAAAAATGGATTAGCAATTTTAACGGGAACAGGAACAGACAGACAAATAAACAGTCAAACAATCACTCTCATATGGTCAGCTGCACAAGGAAAAATAAACAATTAAAATCAGAAGAAAAAAAAATCTAAAGCTGTAGTGATGATCGATGAAAAGGAGGAGGAGAAGGAGGAGGAGGAGGAGAAAAGGTCACCGAGTTTAAAATAACTACAAAAAATGTTCTCCTTTTCAACTGAACCCTAAGCTTAAACTTTATAAACTCGGTGCAGCGCGACATTACTTCACTGTCCTCATGTCTGGTGTGTTTTGGTGGCTTTTTTCTTTGTGTGCTTTTTCTTCTTCCCTTCTTTCTCCCTCTCTAATGGCGGGTAAAGTTTCNAAAGGTCACCGAGTTTAAAATAACTACAAAAAATGTTCTCCTTTTCACAACTGAACCCTGCCTAAACTTTATAAACTCGGTGCAGCGCGACATTACTTCACTGTTCCTCATGTCTGGTGTGTTTTGGTGGCTTTTTTCTTTGTGTGCTTTTTCTTCTTCCCTTCTTTCTCCCTCTCTAATGGCGGGTAAAGTTTCCACTTGAAAAATCAATCTTACTAGCGGCGGCGGCGGCGGTGGCAGTCTTTGGGTGAATCTGTGGTGATCAATCATCAGCTGCTGCAGTTTCCCCAGTACTACTCAGTCACTGATCCTGAACAGAAACCAGCAAGCAAACCCTGTCTGTCTCTGTGTGTGTGTGTCCTGACACACTTGCACACTGAACTGCAAACCAAAGAAAAACTAGTGTGGTAGTCGGTGAACCTTGGCTCACGAAGTAAAGTGGTGCTGGTGCTCAAGTCGATGTGTTGTAGAATGAGTTGTAGCTTGGCTGAACAGCTTCAGCATCAGCGGCGGCAGCATCAGCAGCAGCAGCATCGAAATGATTGTCATTAATCCACTTTAATGTACCACCACCGTACATTGTACGGCAGAAGAAAAAGGCTGAAAGAAGGCAAGCGGAGTTTCGCTGACGAGGCGATGCTAAAAATATACATCAGANTCACGAAGTAAAGTGGTGCTGGTGCTCAAGTCGATGTGTTGTAGAATGAGTTGTAGCTTGGCTGAACAGCTTCAGCATCAGCGGCGGCAGCATCAGCAGCAGCAGCATCGAAATGATTGTCATTAATCCACTTTAATGTACCACCACCGTACATTGTACGGCAGAAGAAAAAGGCTGAAAGAAGGCAAGCGGAGTTTCGCTGACGAGGCGATGCTAAAAATATACATCAGATGCGAGAGTGCACTACCAAATCTAAGCAGGTCGCTTTAAGAGCTTTTTAGGTCAAGTGTAGTGTGTGCATTGTGTCAGTTGTTGCTGTTTGCAGAGGGGGCTCTTTGGACGACTACCATTTTCTAAACAACAAGCAGCTCCTCATTGTTTTTTGCGTTTTTCCATCTAGCACAAAACAAACTCGTGAGCGATTCCTTACCTGAGCAACTCCAGACCCTCGTCGAAGGTGTCCATCTTGTAGTGCTGAATGTAGTGCCACAGATCGACGTACTTCTCCATTAGGTAGCCCTCGGAGGCGCTGCTTCGAGCCGTTCCAGTACGCTGGGTCATCAACTGACATTTGTGGTGGTGGTGGTGGTGGTGGTGGTGGTGGTGATGGTGATGGTGATGGTAATGATGGTGACGGTGGTTGAGATATTAATCACAACAACAAAAAATTCAAAAACATGTCCGTTTTGGCGTTTGTCATTTGTTGGTGGTGGTGGTGGTGAAGCCATCAGCGTTATCAACGCCAGACGTCGGTTTTCAATTGTGTGCGTGTGTTGAACACACAGAAATCAAAATCACAGGAACAGGGGACAGAATCAGGACAACACGTCCCAGAAGAAGAAGAACAATAACCAGCCAGCCAACCACAGCAGCAGCAGCAGCAGCAGCCGTTGTCGAAAGAAGAAGAGAAGGAACATGAAAAAGGAGAGGGGAAAAGAGAGAAAAAATTAATTAGCGTCTAGTGCCGCAAAAAATGCTGTAGCAAAAAAAGGAAGCGACAGAGAACCGAGCCGAACCGAACCGAAAACCGAGACTCAAACACAAATAGAAAAATTAATTAAATTAAATTTTTGTGTCCCATCACACACTTACACTCTTATCGTGAAAGTCATTCACTTCCGGCACCAGAAAGAGGCCGGCAAAGTGGGCGGCAATGTTGGCGGTGTAGGTGGCGAGGAAGATGACGCTGAAGGCGCCCCAGACGTTGATGAGGACCTAGGGTTTTCAAAACAATAAAAATTGGGTTAAAAATCATAACTTGACAAAATGAAAATTTCGATTCTCCCCCTTACCTTATTGGGCCACGACTTGGGCGCCTTGAAGGCAACGAGGTGACTGAAGAGGAGTGAGCACATCACCCAGAGGGCCGAGGCAAGGGAGAAGTTCTTCGTCCGTTGGCGGCCCCAGGGATTGAGGCCGAAGGGGCTGAACCACTCGTAGATGGCGGCGGCGACGGCGGTGGCGAAGAGGCTGGCGAAGATGGCCGCCCACAGCTCGTAGCTGAAGGGAATGAGAAAGGCGAGCAGCGGGACGTCCGTCTCGTTGGAGGTCGCCGACAGACAGGAGACGCCCGAGTAGAAGAAGGGCACGGAAAAGTCGATTGCCTGGGAGGGTGAAAAGAGAGGAACGGAAAATGATTAGAGAATGAAAGATGAGGTCGTCCTTCAAACTGGAAAGGAAAAACGCAGATTCCAAGCAGATTCCAAACAAATAATAAAGGTCCCTTGGACGAAAAGTTACAGAGAAAACAGTGACAACGGCAACAGCCAAAGAACTGTCAATGTTTATCATCGGAGAGACAGCACCAGCAATCGGCAACAACATGACAACAAACATGGACGCCCAGCACACTGACTGACTGACTGACTGATTCTACTGGAGAACTACGAGAGGCAGCTGCGTGTTATTAAAAAAGTGATCGACTTTTTTTCCCTTCTCGTTGATAAGAAGAATGTGTGCGTGTGTGTGTTTGTGTGAGAATATTGGCTAGTATTCCTGGCACCAACATCAGCAATCGCTGCATCAGACAACACACATATATTGGGAATTTGTCCTCCACATCCTTTCTCGTCTTTGTGAATGAATTTTTCCTCTCTCTTTCTCTTTAGCCTCTGGCAACCTTCTGCCTATCGCAGACTTGCATGCTTGGGTGCACTGAACAAAAACATACTGTTTGGGTAGACAAACAAGGCAAGTCGCCGTCGCCGAGGACAGCTGAACAACAACTGAAGATTTAGCCATCATGGGAAGAGAGAAAGAGGAGGAGGAGGAAAGAATGAAAGGCAATAAATCACAAATTGCGAAAATGAAAAAGAAAAGGAATTTTTCTTCTTCTTCTTCCCTTTGTACACTGAGCAAACTATGAGGAAGCGGCGGCGGCGGCGTCAGTGGCTACTAACAAGGTGAAGTTTCGGCGACTTGCACAAAAAAGTTGCACTGACAAATTGCAAATCTTTTGCGGCGGCGGCCGCTTCTGCTCTTTCTCTCTTCTCTTTCCCGGTCTGCCCGGTCTGTTAATTTGTCGCCCATCTATTTGACTGGGCACACCACACAGAAAGAACACTGTGGTCCAGCAGCAGCAGCGGCAATGGCGGCGGCAAAGGATAATAAATCTTTAAATCTTTCATCGGTAATTTTTCATCATCACCAACATCATCATCATCATCAGCAGCAGCAGCAGCAGCAAAAGCAGCAGTGTGGACTGGCCGGTCTCATCATAAATCCTCCTCGGCCGTAGTAATAATTACGGAAAAAAAGAAGAATTCGGCCCTTTGGCAACGGCAATGGCAATGCTCTGATGATCCCTACTACACGACCAAACCAGTCTTTTTGTCCAGTCTTTTTGCCTCTCTATTAAAAGCTAGGCTCTACGCTACAAACAAATTCCATCCACCCGGTTCATCAGCGATACAGAAATAATAATTTGCAATAATAATCATCTCCGAGATCAAGCGATGATAAATCAATGCAGAGAGTAGCGCAGAGAGGACTATGACTTCTGGCTGGCTAGTAACCAGAGATAAGAATTAGTTTGATTTGGCTTGTTAGCAATGGTACCAGCTGGCCTGATGATGAGGCTTTTGGGCAAAGGAAAAAAGCTCTCGTTAGTTGGTTATTCAGCTAAGGTTTTGGTCACACCGAGGGCACCAAAAAGCTTCATATTCAGAGAAAGAGATGCAAGAGGCTAGGCGGCCGTAGGGATGCTAATGGCTATCGAGCGACCTGCTACTGTACAGTAGTGTACGGTAAATTAATGATGTTCTTTCTGTGACGGCTAATGAACACAAAAAAACGATAGGGATAAAAATAGAGCTAGGTAGCTAGTCTCTTCTACTTAAAACTAACGTGAATGTTACTGGCTCACAATAAACCGACAATAGTGCGAAAGCCTCGATTGCTGATTTGGTAAAGCAAAATTTCCTATCTTTTTCCTCTCTTACCCAAACCCTGGAGCTGGTGGTGCTGAAGGCGGTGAAGCTGAGGTGGGCGACGTCGTGGACCAGGTCGGCCACTATGCCGTCCCACTTGCCGTCCTTCTTCACCCCGAAGAGGCCGTCGGCGACCATGTACAGGTCGTAGTCGAAGTGGAGGTCACGCGCCACGGCGTTGAGCAGGTCAATGGCGATGCCGGCGCAGCACTTCACAATGTACCGCTTGCCCTCGTACAGGCGGCGGTTGGAGCGAAAGTCGGTGAAGAGGGCGATCAGCTCGTCGCGGCGGTTCGTGTCGATCTGGTTGGGAAAAAAGTGTGAAAAAAACATTTTAAAAAAATTAGTTCAAGATTTAAAAGACTACATTTTGAACACTACGTTTTCTTAATTTCCCATAAAAAATCTTATCTCCCCACAAAAAAAATTCACACGTACAAATTTTTTGCATAAAATTTTTGCCCTCCCCCTTTCTTTAGTGCAAGCGACTCCTCAATAAAACGTGTCTCTATTTAAAAGAAAGAAAGTAAAAAGTCGTGGTGCACTTGCTATCACTTCCCCCACCACCACCACGACCACGACCACGACCGCCAGCATTTGTACCAGTATAATAATTTCCAATATAAATGCAGCGCAAATAACACATAATAAATTGACAAAAATTGTCCAATAACTTAGACTTAACACCAAGAGAGACACTAACTGAGTGTGTGTGTGGTGTCGGCAGCAAATGGCTAATGGGAAAGTGAAATAGAATTGCTCGCTTTTCCTTCTTATTTTTCTTCTTCCTCATCTTCTTCGTTTTAAACCTCAAAATGGCATGTTAAGAAAGGACCAACCACCAAACTGAAACTGTAAATTGAGTTTGCTCAATTTTCTCGCCCACTAAACACTCTGCTCTGGCGCGTTAACTGGTTCGAAAAAGAAAAAAAATTGGGCGGCCTAACTAAAACGTTCTCAACTTCTGACAACTTTTTCTTTCCTCCTCCTCCTCCTCCTGCAAAAACTGTCCACTGACACTTTTTTTCCATGTCATCGCTTTAATCCGGTAATAAAAAATCTATAAATAAAACATTGCTGACTGACATGGACTGTGTGTGCAACACTAGAGCGGCGGAAAAGTGGAGAGAAAAGGTGAAAAAGTGAAATCCAAGTCAGTGTCGACCTAATAGTTTACGGGTTTACAAGGCAGTCAAGCAGAAGCAAAACTGGTAAATGCAGTTGAAAGCAGTTTTAAGAAAAACAGTTTCTTTTTGTTTCTGTGCAGTCAAAAATTTAGAGATGCAAAAAAAGTTCAAGTTTCATGCTTTAGAAAAATCTTGCTTAATATGATCAGCCTGTTTTGTTGTCTTTCTGTCTTTCTTTACCAATTTCATAATATTAAACTGTTGTCGTGGTGGCTTAAAAGCTAACATGAAAAAAATTAGCATAAAACAGCACACCGATATGAATTTAAATGCTAGATAAACTTTCAAAAAACTAAAAAGCGTAAACGGTTCTTTAAAATGGCAAAATTAGCAACTGTAAATTGCCCTTTTCTCGGAAATCTCCCTTTTAAACTTAAACCTAATTCACCCTGCTAAACAGCAGATCTGATAATGATAAGACTAACAGAAGCACTGTCTCTCTCTCTCGACTGTAGACTGCTTTTTGGATCCAGTCAGTAACTGCCGCGCAGATGATAAAAAGCAGACCATTGCACCGGTGAGCAACGTTAGCAGCCCCCTTTTTTTCCCGCTAACAAAAATTAGTCAGATCAGAAACCAGATTTCCAGAGAGCACATAAACGGTGAGTAAAGTGTGTGTGTGTGTGTGTGTAAAGCTGCAAAAACATTAAAAGTGCAAAATGAGGACTAACGAGAGAGAGAGAGAGAGAGAGAGAGAGAGAGAGAGAGAAAGAGAGAAACTAAAACGCTTGTAGCATTAATTAACGATAGAGTGAGTGAGAAACAAGAGTAAAAACAAGAGCACACTCCCCACTTTCCCTCTTCTGAGAACCCATTTGCCCCGTAAATAAAACAAAAATTAAAACAAGCACTCCAAAAAGCGAGCACTCAAATCTGGAAAAGTCGGAAAGTGCAGTCTCAGGCGACACACACGGTAGTAAAAATCCTTCTGTTTGAACTATTTTTTTTATAAAACAAACAAAAAAAAGTTATCCTAACCTAAAGTTAGAAAAAAGAAAGAA